TTATTAGTTCAGTCTGAGACAACTTCCCTCTAGGACAAGGTGGAAGGTCGCACACAGAGGGTTTGAGAAACACAGGCGAAATGAATTTAAAGGTAGACAAAAAGTGGATGGAAAAAAAACCTGAAAACTTTAAAGCACAATGAGAAAGGATGTATCCTGAACTTTCTGGTTCACGGTGCTTTCATTAATAGCCTGGAAGATGGAACAGAATGGACCTATTAAATCTGCGTGTTACAAAGCCAAGCTCTACAAATACACTGATGGGCAGAATTAAATTCATTTAAAAACAATGTAACTTAATGCACAAGTTTCTAAATTTGGGTAGAAATAATTAACTGCATGTTGCAAAACAAAAAAATCATCATCTTGAGGTTTACAAACAGGCACATACACCAGGCACAGACAAAACCTGCCAACTGACCTCAAATTGATTAGCACCTCAGTTACCATGCCCTGTTTTGGTCATCACACTTCTAAGCAGTGAAGAATGACCAAGGGAAGAGAAATAACAATGACAGGTGATGAGAAATGGTTTAAGAATCTAAGATCCAGCCTTGAGAATACTGAAGGGAAACACAAACAGATAAGTATGTAAAAGCCTCATTCAAAAACATAAAAGAAATGAACAATATATGATGAACTGCTGCAAGACAGAGTAAACACTTGAAAAATGTTGACAGTAAAGATGCTCTAAGTTGTGGTATTTCAGTGCCTTGGCAGGTTCTGGCATTTCTATCACCTCAGTTACAGGTTAGACATGTCTGACCTTGATTTTTCATTAAAATTATCCTATTTTGAGAATAGACTGGATGAGAGCCTTTCCACTATTAATCTTCTTACAGTATCTGAGTACCTCAAGAACATTAATGTATTAATTTTTAAGATAAAAGACAAGCCTCCACTTCACAGGCAGAATCCAACAAAGAAAAGAATATCTGACTATCTACTAATTAGAATGTTCATCCTGCATTTTGTTAATACTTCATTTTTATATAGTGAGCTGTACTTCAAAAATACAGAGCACTGAAACCGATTGATCCCAAGAAGTCAGAGGACAAGTTGAGATGGTTACCAGGAAATAGAAATGACCTCAGAAAAGTCTGATTTAACCTACTTGCTGGTAGTAACAGAAGAGGATGGAGAACTTGGGTTCCATTTCAAACTTTAAAAGGAACGTGATCTGTAACATCAAACATTTCTATACCTATTTAGGTTTAATAAAACCCTAACAACAACATGTACTTATGGAATCTGCTTTTTCAGCGGCCTCTACAACAACTGATGTGCTATGTAAGTCAGAAAAATCACTTCCCTGCTGAAAATCAAGATTGTGTTTCAACGCATGGAGACACTAGAGTGTTCTTTAAAAAGAAAAACAAGAGTTCAGTACTACCATTTTCTTTTCAGGTCTGAGAAAATGCATTTCAGCTTCGTTAAAATTTACAGCTCCAGGCAGCAAATATCAAAAACTTTAGTCCAAATGGCTAAATATCCATTGAAGTCAGGGAGGGGGGAGGAAGAGAGAGAGAAAAGCATTATAATGAGTACTCAGCAATCATCTTAATGTTAAGACAATGGCACGAGGCATTGAATGAGCTGAATTTAAAGTCTCAGCAGAAAAAACAGCATTTAACATGGATGTGAAGAAAGGGCTTATCTGTAGTAACAGTTTAGAAAAACATAACATTTACCAAATAAAAGGAGGAGTTTTAGCTTGAGCAAGAGGATGCTCTGAACTGCAACAAAGACTAACCAAAACCAGTCTGCAGTTCACCACAAAATTGCAAGGATTTACTATGAGCCGGACGTGACAGCAACCCAGAAAGGGCTTGAAAAGGAGGATGATTCCCTAGAAACGCAGCTTTTGTAGGGCTGTCCTTCAGAAAGAAAGTAACTGCTATCTTACCTCCATCAGTGCCCCACAAGTGTAAAGTTCCTTCCTTAGAAGTACCATCTGTACAGCAGTGAGGTCTCATGGATGGTACTAAAAAGGAGTGCCCCTTTTGTTTCAAGACACCTTCCTCAATCCTCATCCAGATAAGGAGTTATTTCCATTCGGCAGTCACAAGATTATTAAGAGTCAAGCATTAAGTGAAAGATGACAGCATCGCCAATGTTCATAATGCTAAAGAATCTCCAGTAAACAACTGCAAAATTGTAGCCTTAAAAGCAATCAGCTTAAATTGATGAAGGTTCCATTGTGGTTCAAAAATTACCTTGCCCCTACTGCCCACTGCTTTCCTCCTGCTGCCCTGGCATTCATGTAGCTATGTCACATCAAGCCAACCAGGGAGCTGATCTAGCCGAATGCTAACCCTGTAATTTTTTTTTATTAGCAGTACTTTTTGCTTCCAATTGCATTAGCACTCTACAGAGCCATGCAAGCCCAAAGCTACCACAGTAGAGGTGGTAGATATATGTACGGGAAAACTGTGGGTAGGGAAAAGTAAATTGCCACTTTCCAGGGGAGCAGGGAACTATGGCAAGGTTTAATGATCAGCTGAAGTTGATCTAAGGTTTCTTTTCTTGGATAAACCAAAGATTGTAGCATCAGACTAGTATTTACACCCATGGATGATATGGTTAACTAAAGCTGATTTATACGCTCCAAACCCAGAACATTCCTTGGAAGTTAGATAAACCACACACAAATTTCAAGTAGTTTTTGAAGGGTCTATAGAGCCTCTATGCAGTTATGGGACAGAAGTATTTATTGCATTTGGCATGGAAGTTGCAGTCTGTGAGCACTGGGAAAAAAAAACAGAAATGGGTGAGCACTAGAGCACCAGATAGCAAACAAATTCTTTCTTTTCCTTTCCCAATAAATTATATACAAAGGTGAACCACTGTCACACTGATGTTTCAGATCTGAAATATAGTTAAGAGCAAGTTATAACTAAGGCAAAGAAAATGAATGTCAGAAAATTTTGTTTTTTCAAATTTCAGATAAGCTCTTTAGCCCTAGGGTTAATCAGAGAGCTAGAGAGTTCTGTTTGGAGTCTAAATTCTTCCCAGAAAAATGTTTCTTTGTGTAGTATGTGTGTAAACATGCACAAGTAAGGGTATATGTATTTATATAAATAATACGGCACACCTTTAGTTCATTGCCCAGGGTAATCAAAATACTAGTGGTCCTTCAGAGAATCTTTTTCTTCCTGTATTAAGCAACACCAATTAACAAGAGCAACCATCTGAGCAGCAGATTCCCCGCAGAGCAGCTCCACAACCTCACCCTGCAGTCAGCAAGGTTTCTGACCTTCTCCAGACATACCTAATGGAGATGTAGGCCCTCCACGGCAAAGTTAGCTGCTGCACATCGTTACCAAAGAGTGCCCAGCTGTCAGGTTAATTCAGCTAATGATAATAGCAAGGGAATGTAATCATAGTCTGACACGTGACTGCTTAATATGCTGCCAGATTGCATGCAGCCAGGGAAGTTAAATAGGTGAAGCTACAATAAAGTGAACACAAGCTCTAATTATCTCTAGTCTACTAACATATTTCTCATCACAGTCCAGTGACACTGATGAGAATTCCCAAAGTCTAAATCTTTTACCTTCACATATGGTCACAGCTAAGGACTCTGCACTACAGCCATAAATACATATGATAGTTGCTTTAAAAGGTAAAAATATTTCAAGTAAGGGATGCCGGTCCATCCAAAGGCCAGTTTGCAGCAACATTTCTGAACTTGACACAACAGTGTGTCTAAGTAAAAGCTTTTCCTTCCACAGCCAACACCATTTCTCTCATTTCCTCTATCTGTAGAGCAGCTAAACACTTAACAAATCTGAGTATTTGATATTCTCAAGCAGAGGCAGAGACATTATGACTTGCTCACAGCCACAAAAAACAAGAGAACCAAGATCAGCCCCCAGAAGGCCTTGGCTATCAGACTGATAAGAAGTAAAAAGGCAGGAGAGAGAGAATGGTGCACTAATTTGATTTAGCCTGCAGGGTTTCTTCAGTGTTTCTCCATAAAGTGTTCAAATTGCTGAGAAAAGACCTAACACACCTCATAGGGAAGTTTACTTCAACATCAATTCCACAAGCACTGGAAACGGTTACACTTCGCGCACCCACATGCAAACAGGACATATCTTCTGATGAAAATCTGTTTTGTAATCAAAATCTTGATTGCTTCATTTGTGGGGAGATGGAAGGTAGATCAAGAAATACAAACATACACAGAAATTATACAGCTACAGATTCCAAGTTTAAATATGAACCCACAGAGATTATATTCAGAGAATGAGGACCAGCTATAACATTATGTAACAAAAATAAGATACCTGCAGCTGCATACTGCTTACTAAAAATTAAAACCAGTTCCATTTATCTGCCTGCCAGCATATGTTTACAAAGTAATAGAACTGCCTTTCCTTCCTCCGACCCCCCCAAAAGTTATATTTAGAATCCGTGCTTTTATTTCAAACTCCAAGACATGCCACCACCTGTGCATCCTCTCCATCATTTCAAATCTGACCAAGCACAGATCACACAAGATACTGTATTTATTGGGCTAACGCTGTGAGAAGGACATAGGTTTACAGTGCAGCTGCCAAGACAACAGATATTTAAGGCAGGATCATTAAGACAGAATTTCCTTTGACCTATATAGACAGCACATTGCCAGTAAGTCAGGAATAGAAGCATTCAGTCTCACTGCTATGAATAAATGAAGCATTCAAAGGAATAGGGAGCATTTCAGTTCCAACAGAATAGCATTCAGTTAAACCATATATCTCATTCATTCAGACATTTCATGTACACTGTTGAGTATTCGCGTTGTTATTTTGTCCCCCTTCTCTGGCCAAGTAACAACAGTACGAAATACATTTGGGAGCAACAGGGAAGAAAAGGCTTTATTAGTCTATTAGATCCCTAAGAGACTGCCATGTTATAGCATTTTAAGGTTGTTAAGTTGATACCCTGTCTTTACAAACCAGAAACCGGCCTGCATCCTGTACCCCAGCCACACTTCTCCGGATCATACTTACCCATTTGCTCCACAATTTCAGGTGGAAAAACTCGAGAGGCAAAAGCTCGCCGGAAAATATCTGAGAATTCTTTGTCAAGGCCCCCAATGCCCATTTTCTCAAAATTCCAGTCTGGATTGATGATTGACTGGCGGTTCTCCTTGGTCTTTGATTTACCTGCAAAAAAAAAAAAAAAAAAAATTGTTTCAAACATGTAGCACAGCAGAATAACAGCAAATAAAAGTAACAGAACAGTTCTACCAGGTCAGACCCCCATCCAGCTAATTCGATGTTCGGTTTCAAACATTAGCCAGGAGGATGCACTATGAGAAGGATGCAACAGCAGCATACCAGAGATTCAGCTTACTCAGTAAACTATTTTCCCAGCCTTCCAACCATCCAGTTCAGGGATTTCTTGAGCCAGGTGTTGCTCCTATGTATTTAAGAATCCACAGTAGATTTCTCTGCCACAAGTCTACCTAGGACTCCTTGGATCCATGTAAACTTAGTACCCAGAACGCTGTACAGCATCTAGCTCACCATGTCTACCATAGCCTGCACAATCAAACACCTCCTTTCATGTGTCTGAGCCAGCTCTGACCGCTTGATTTCAAGTCCCCCAAGTCTTATATCTGAAGAGACAGTAAACAGTATCAGTATCCACTCTCTTCCAGGCTACCTAGGATGATAATGGGTTTGTCCTGTGTCCCCCTCAGTCGTGCCTTTTCCAGGCAGAGCAGAACTCACTTGTTCTTCCTTACGCAGCAGCTGCTCTGCATTTGAGCGCCCTTGTTCTCCTCTCAGTCTTTTCTATTTCTACTACATCCTTTGACAGACAGGCAGAATAGAACTGCAGGCACTGTGGTTTGTTTGTATCTTAAATACAGGTTCAAAATTACACTCTGCTTTGTTCATATTCCTTTATTAATAATGCATAATAATTCTTAACAATCACGTTTAATAATTCTTAACAACAGGGCTCAGGCTGCTACTGAGCATGAGTCCAGCATTTCCTTGAAACTATCACACCTGGGATCCTGGCCCAAGACCGCAATCATTTTTAACTAAAGTTAGGAGTGTTCTTCCTCCCACGCATCACTTTACGTTTATTTATATTGAATTTCCTCTGCCATTTTATTTCTCAGTCACTGAGCTCCACAAGAGCAAGCTTTGTGACCTCATTACTCCGTCTTTTTTCCAGTTTATTCAATAATTATAATCGAAAGTAAAGGCCCTAGCACAGATTCATGCTGAACTCCACTGGCACTGGCTATTTACTTCTACCCTTTCATCACTCATGTAACTCATGCAAGGACCTTCTCTCTTAGAGATCTCAGTTTAGATTCTTTTTAAAGAAACTTTGCTAAGGAACTTTGCTGGAAGAGCTCTGAAAAACAAGCAGACTATGTCAGCCCTTATGCCCATTTTTTGATTCCTATAATGAACTCCGGTGGGATCATGAGGTAGGACTGTCCTTACAGAAGACAAGCTGACCCTTCCCAGTGTATCATCTTTATACAGATATCCACTAATTTAATTCCTTATTATAGTTCCTGTTAATTTCTTCTGTACAGATTTCAGGTTCAAAGATCTGTAGCTCTCCATACCTTTTCTAGAATTCTTTAAAAAACGGACAGTACATTTTCCATCTTGCAGTCCTCAGATATCACAGCAATTTTAAGCAACGTTACACAAAACAATTACAAGGTCAGCTAGCTCCTTTACAACTCAGAAGAATAAAAGCCAGTCTTGGCAAACCACCATGGTTCACTTTGTCTGTCTGTTCCATAACCTCTTCTAGAGCTACTTCAAGTTCAGCCAGATCACCTAAGCAAAGGTTTTGTAGTCTTCATGCAACAGTATAACCGCCTTTCTTTCTCTTTTGCTGACAAACCACACGCATTTCAGTCTTACAGAGCTCCTTGCTCTCTTTTCAGAGAAAATTTAAAGTACTCAAGGCATTTAGGAGGCAGACAATAAGCACAAATGCTCCTATAAGAACACTGCTGAGATGCTGTCACATCCATGTAGTTTCACCTTAAGCTTATTCAAGGGAATTTATAAACAAGCACTGACACTCTTAGCTAGATCGATGCTTCCAAATGGCTTTCAGCATCATCACTTTGATTAGCTACCAGAGAAACCAATGGTAATATAAAAATTCAGAGAGAAAGCAAAAACTTTGAAGACTATCCTTAACTCACGCGGAAATTGGATGTCTTGTATTTTCTTAGCCTCATACACTCCTTTGTGTGGTTGGGGTTGTGTGATTGGCTCTGGGGACCATTATCTCCCCTAAAAAGCCAGTCATGGTAAACTGCAACTGTGCATTTTGCTAATTTGTTCCATAACCTCTTCAAGAGATACTTCAAGTTGAGCCAAATAATGAGTTAGGATCTAGAAGTCCAGTAAGGACACTAAACAAGAGTTCTGTGTTAGCTGAATTAGACTGCTGTTAAGCTTGGTCTGAACACACCTGGAATCAATATTTCAATTCCAAGCGCAGCAAAACAAACAAGAACATGCCTTTGATTAACACATTAGGGACAACATGGTAGTATGTATAACATATAGCACTAATACATAGTACCATGCAGGGCAGCAGTGAGCATTTGATTAACTGATTATTGTGTATTTATTATTTCATTGCTCCACTACAGCTTTTAGATCAGACCACTCAGCCAGGCACGTTCCTCTTCCTCTAGAGCTTAGCCTACATCCCCACCTTCTGGCTGCATCTGATCACAATAAAATTCTTGCAATTGAATTAAAACATCATCCATTGCTTTTATAATACATAATGTTAGGCTAAGTAGAAGAAATACAATTGGCTTTTTTTTTTAATGACTGCAATTATCTTCTATTGAAAATAATAAAGGCCCTTTATTGAGAGCACTGCTCAGTGACACCTACTTTACTTTTATCTCCTCTCTCAGAATTTAATTATTCAAAACTTTACAATTCTCCAGAGACTAACAAAGCACATTAAGTAGCTCTGCCACAGATCAATGAGGAGATTAAATAAAGTACCAAGCTGATAGAAGTAAATTGAGGCATAAGCAACTCTTCTGTCTTGTCTGCAGACAATAAAATTGATTCATGGTAAAGGATTCCTATTCCCAATCAGCTCTCCCCCAGGACCATTCTTCAGACCTATACATGCTAGGAGGAAGATCACAGGTCATTACATGGCTTCAAATACTAACCAAGTAAAATATCACTGCTTGCTCTGATGCAATAAATTGGTTTATGTTAATACTCACCTCAAGCTGTCCTATCAAAACACAGGAAAAACTAAACAGGCTGTAATCATGTAACCACAGGTATGAACTAATTGTCCATACAAACTTCATTCAGTGCTCTTAAAACCTGGATCCTTGTCAATCTGCTTAATTGCAGCCATCTACAATTCAGCCAATGGACCTCTGGTCAGTTTTTCAGTCGGTACATTTTTTGCCTCCCTATTTTTTGGAGCAACTGTAGCACGTGAAGGAGATAGCTATGGAACACGAAGTCATAGCCTGACATTTGAGGGAAGAGGGCAGCTCAGGGCAGCATGAAAACTCAGCCTCTGCCACAAGCTTCTGCAGTGCTGAATGAGTTGAATTCTACTTTCCTAAGCAGCTACTACCCTCACGTGTTTTATTTCTGTAATAAATACTCAACGTACTGAGCATTCACAGTCAACTAGAGCTGTGCTTTGAAGCCTACTGCAAAAATAATAAGTATTAGAACTCAACTGAGTGCTCATCTGGGCTAGCCAGGTTCACTGATCCCCAACTCACAGCAGCCTTCACCTGCCACTTCTTATCTGTGGAAGAGCAGCAGCAAAAGCAAAAGTTTTCTTAGCTCGTGGAATCCAGGGAAAGGAAAAAAATAGGAAAGGACAATAAGAAAAAAGAAAAATAAGAGTGTCTGTTCAAGTACAGGATTTGAATCACACCCAGAAAAGAATGCCTAGAGCCACATTATCAGCAAGGGAGGTATTTGCAGCTGTAGGCTTGCTAACTGCCATCCACTTTGTAACGCCACACAGCCGCTCACTCACACCCCGCTCCCCGTGGGATGGGGAGGAGAATCAGAAAAAAAGTAAAACCCATGGGTTGAAAACAGTTGAATAGTTGAAATAAAATAAAATATAACAATAATAATGAAGAAAAGGGAGATAACAAAAAGAGAGAGAGGAATAAAACCCACGAAAGACAAGTGATGCACAATACAATTGCTCACCACCCACTGACTGATGCCCAGCCCGTACCCAAGCAGCCATCAGCCTCTCCTGGCCAACTCCCCCAGTTTCTATACCGGGCATGACATTCTATGGTATGGAATATCCCTTTGGCTGGTTGGGGTCAGCTACCCTGGCTGTGCTCCCTCCAAGCTTCTTATGCACCTCCCCGCTGGCAAAGCATGGGAAACTGAGAAGTCCTTGACTTAGGGTAAGCACTACTGAGCAACAACTAAACCATCCGTGTGGTATCAATATTATTCTCATACTAAATGCAATAACATAGCACTGTACCAGCTACTAGGAAGAAAATTAACTCTATCCCAGCCAAAACCAGGACTGTATCCACTCCTTATTCTATACCATTTACGTCATGCCCTAGTCCCACACTTTCCAGTACATCCCAGTTAACCACCATCACCTTTCCTGTCTTTTGAGATATACACACAGATCTCATTCCCTCGGTCTATGAGTCATCCCTCTAAAATGTCTGTTGAGTTCATTTAGTCCATGACTTTGTGCTCCACCTGTCATAGCAGTCTTTCAGGGCAGGAAAGATGGAGTGTGGTGTTGGACTGTTGCCTGCTGAAGCCAGTTCTGATTCCATCACCACTGCGCTTGTCCAGTTTCATCAAAGTTCATTCTTCATTAATCTGGGTGATTTTTACTGTAATACCCTTGATATGCACATAGCCACCAGAGACGTTATGATACACATTGTTATACCGCAATTAATATCATACAATTTAAACCTTGGTGGGTTTGTGGGAGTGTGATATAGTCAATCTGCCAGGCCTCCCCATATTTATATTTCAGCCATCATCTTCCATATCAGAGGCTTTAACTGCTTGGCTTGCTTGATAGCAGCACATGATTCACATTCATGAATGACGTGTGCGATAGCGTCTATGGTAAAGTCCACCCCTCGATCACGAGCCCATCTATATGTTGCATCTCTTCCTTGATGGCCTGAGGTGTCATGGGCCCACTGAGCTATAAATAATTCACCCTTATGTTGCCAATCCAGATCTACCTGAGCCACTCCAATCTTAGCAGCCTTATCTACCTGTTGGTTGTTTTGATGTTCTTCAGTGGCACAACTCTTGCTACGTGAGCATCTATGTGACGTACCTTCACAACCAGGTTCTCCACCTGGGCAGCAGTATCTTGCCATAATGCAGCAGCCCAGATGAGTTTACCTCTGCACTGCCAGTTGCTCTGCTTCCATCGCTGCAACCACCCCCACAGAGCATTTGCCACCATCCATGAGTCAGTGTAGAGATAAAGTATTGGCCATTTTTCACATTTAGCAATCTTGCCAAAATGCGGAAAGCCACGTGGGTTTTCTCTGCTTTGCCAGTTACGCTGCTTCCATCGCTGCAACCACCCCCACAGAGCATTTGCCACCATCCATGAGTCAGTGTAGAGATAAAGTATTGGCCATTTTTCACATTTAGCAGTGTCTAAAGCCAGCTGCATGGCTTTCACCCCTGCAAACTGACTTGATTCACCTCGTCCTTCAGCAGTTTCTTGTCACAGGGGAGTCCATACAGCTGCCTTCCATCTCCAATGCTTTCCTACAACATGACAGGACGCATCAGTAAACAAGGCATATTGCTTCTCATTTTCTGGTAATTTATTATACAGTGGGGCCTCTTCAGCACACATCACCTCTTCCTCTGGTGACATTCTGAAATCTTTGCCTTCTTGCCAGTCCATAATCACTTCCCAGATTCCTGGACGACTGGGGTTTCCTATTTGAGCCCATTGTGTGATCAGTGTGACCCACTTACTCCACGTAGCATCAAGCTGCATGATGTGTAGAGACGCTCCCTTTGAACATCCAGCCCAGCACTGGCAGTCAGGGTGCCAGGAAGAGCTGTGCTTCAGTACCAACCGCTTCCAAAGCGGCTCAAAACCCTTCATAAGCTGCCAGTATTTCTTTTCCAGTTGGAGTATAGCAGTCCTCAGATCCTCTGTATCCCCAACTCCAAAACCCTCAGGGCTGACCTCAAGTCTCCCCTGGTGCTTTCTGCCAGTGGCTCCAGGCAGTCCCATTCTCCCCAGCTGAGGTGTAGAGCACATTTTTTACATCTTGCCTTGCCCAGACTGACCCAAGGGCTACTGCATGAACTGTCTCCTGTTTAATTTAACCAAAGGCTTGTTGTTGCTCAGCGTCCCATTTGAAATCATTCTTCTTCTGGGTCACTTGATAGAGAGGGCATACAGTCAGACTGTAATTTGGAATGTGCATTCTCCAAAAACCCACAACGCTTAAGAAAGCTTGTGTTCCCTTCTTACTAGTTGGTGAAGACACAGCTGTTATTTCATTGATCACCTCCACTGGGATCTGACAACATCCATCTTGCCATTTTGTTCCTAAAAACTAGATCTCCTGTTCAGGTCCCTTGACCTTACTTTGTCTTATGGCAAAACCAGCTTTCAGAAGGATTTGGACTATTTTCTTCCCTTTTTCAAAAACCTCTGCTGCTGTATTGCTCCATGCAATGACATCATCAATGTTTTGCAGGTGTTCTGGACCTTCACTCTGTTCCAGTGCAGTCTGAATCAGTCCATGGCAAATGGTGGGGTTGTGTTTCCACGCCTGGGGCAGTCAATTCAGGTGTACTGGATGCTCCTCCAAGTGAACGCAAACTGTGGCCGGCACTCTGCCACCAAAGGGATTGAGAAAAATGTACTACTGACATAAGTTGTGGCATACCACTTGGCTGCCTGTGACTCCAGTTCTTATTGAAGTTCCAGCATGTGTGGCATGGCAGCACTCAGCGATGGTGTGACTTCATTCAGGTCACAATAGTCTACTGTTAGTCTCCATTTTCTACAAGACTATTAAAGGGAGAGCCTGTCTTGGTGATCCCTCCTTGGCTCTCCGGTCGAATCAGCTCATGGATGGGAATCACGGAGCCTCAGTCGGTGTGATATTGCTGCCGGTGTACCGTTGTGGTAGGACTGGCACTTGTCGTTCTTCAGCAACTCCACAACAAAAGGGTCCTCTGAAAGACCAGGCAATGTAGAAAGCTGCTTAATTTCCTCTGTCTCCAAGGCAGCTATACTGAAAGCCCACTGGTACCCTTTTGGGTCCTTGAAATACTCTCTCCCAAGATACTCTATGTCAAGGCTGCACGGAGCCTCTGGGCCAGTCACAACAGGGTGTTTTTGCCACTCATTCCCAGTTAGGCTCACTTCAGCCTCCAATACAGTTGGCTGTTGGGATCCTCTGTCACCCCAGAAATACAAATGCCCCTTTATGCCTTGATGGTGTTAGGGTACATTGCACACCGGTGTCCACCAGAGCCTTGTACTCCTGTGGGTCTGATGTGCTAGGCCATTGGAACCACACAGTCCAGTAAACCCAGTTGATGTTCTCCTCCACCTGGCTGGAGGTAGGGCCCCTCTAGTACTGGTCATAGGATTCTTCACTCACTTCTTGTAAAAATGGATTAGAATTCCTTTCCATAAGATCAGGAGTAAGATCAATCCTTTCACTCCGTCTGAGGAACTGCCCACTGGAGACTGGAGCAGCAATTTTCCTGGAAGAACACCCATTTATGATTGTTTTTCCTTGCAATTCATGTACCTGTGCTTCTAAGGTCGACATAGGTTTTCCATCCCACTTCCTCACATCCTCTCCATGCTCCCACATGTAAAAATCACAGGCTACCCCGTAGTGTGTACCCTCTATATCCTCTCTCTTGAGCAAAAGAACGTTTACTGTTAATAGCGGAGATAGTGGTCCATATAGAGGGGAAGTAGGACCTATCTTCTTTTTGTTGCTGGAACGCCTGGAACAGTTTTTCACACTTTTCAGACAGTCTTTCCACAGCCAAGACACAGGCCCATAGGGAGAAAGAGATACTTCCTTCGTATTGCCAGAGTTAGCAAGCCACTTCATCATCTGCGTGTCTTTGTCTCTCCATGTCATTACTGCCAATGAGTTGGCATATGCACTCATATAAATTTCCGCCTCATGGAACACATGTATAGGACTTCATCTGGATCTGTGGGTGACTGCACATTGTTTGGGTCATAATAAATCATCTCTAGCATGGCTAATTCCCTCAGGTACTGGAAACCTCTCTTCATGGTGGTCTGCTTACCTGGGTGACATGTAACATCTTCCTTGAAGGAATGCCTTTCCTTCATGCTTGAGAGGAGTTGCCTCCAGAGGCTGAGGACTTGTGTCCCTTTTCCAATTGCCTTGTCAATGCCCTCTTCCCTAGAAAGGGATCCCAGTTGCTTGGCTTCCCTACCCTCTAGTTCCAGGCTACTAGCCCCATTATCCCAGCATCGGAGAAGCCAGGTAATAATGCGCTCACCTGGACGACCACTGAAATCTTTTCGCATATCCCGAGGTTCACTGAGGGATAGGGATCGGGTAGTTACCTCTTGTTCTGCCTCTTCCTCTTGTTCTTGTGATGCCCCTGCTTCGTCCTCCTTTACTAAACGAGCTGTCTTTTGTGTCCATTTCTTCTTGTGCACAGGACCGATGGACACCAGCATGAGTTGGTCCTCTGGTTCAGCCACAGTGCCTGTTGCTTTGTTGTCCAATCCAGAGACCTTCTCTTCCCCTTGAGGGTACTGAATAGTCTTGAATGATGCTGGGTCAGGGCCAGGCCCCAGCACATTGCAGTGATTTGTGTCTCTCTGGAATTGCCAGGGTGACAGTATACTTTTTCCAAATATTTTACTAGTTTTTCCAGATTTGGCACTTGTTCAGGGGTTAAGTTCCAAAACATTGGCAGTGCCCACTGTCCTAGGTACTTGCCCATATTATCCCACACACCCTGCTACTCATAACTATCCAGCCTCAGGGCAGATCTCTGGGTGATATTATGAAATAGTTGTTTAACCTTAAACAAGACCTGGAACACATTCAGCAACATGCTGGTTCCTAGCAATAGGATCATGCTGGTTTCAACATCCCAAGGATATTCAAAATTTTCAAAATTCTCAAACGCTATTGTAATCAGCCTGGCAGTGGAGGAGAAGATGTGGGAAGATGTCTCCCTCATAGGTTGGGTCTCCGAAAAGAGGTAAAAGGTGTAATTATTAACAGTTTCCGATAGATGGCTCCCGAAGTATGGCAACGCTGAGTACAAATACCAGATTAGTCTCACAACCAACAGTTTTATCATACCATAAGCCAGTGTTGCAAAGCACAAGAAAATGATAACCTTAGCCTAGCCCCCAGAGATGATAAACACCACAACAGGGAACGTTGGTACACAAATCAACTCTGACAACCAGTACAACATCTCTGACAGCAAGTAAATCAACATTGTGATCAGCAACTATTAAACTAACATACTGAATGCTTATAGCAAATCTGTTCTAACGTGTTCCTGTCAGATTTGTCATTATCTCAACTCACCGGGCCCCACATTGGGCACCAAAAATGACTGTTGTGGTTTAACCTCAGCCAGTAACTAAGTACCATGCAGCCACTCGCTCACTTCCTCGTGTCCCTGGTGGGATGGGGAGAAGAATGAGAAAAAAGGTAAA